AGTGGATTTGTTGGATTTGGAAAAGTAATTCTTCTACCTTAAACAATTTTATATACAAAGTGAAAAACCTTTCTACCTTAAACTATTTATAAACAATTTTACAAATATGCAACTTCTTTTAAATTGTTAAGTATTAATATTCTGAATTGAAAATAATAATAACAAATGTGAAATGACCATATACAAAGTAAAAATATACGAGCAGACATTCACGATTTCAATACTAAAAGCAGCATCATCTCCTTCACCTCCACCCTTAAACAATGTCATTAATATTATTTTTTTCATTTAAATGAATTTATATGTATTAGTAACAATATTAATAATAACAAGTTCAAAAATAGTATTCTTATTTATATTTTTAATAATAATAATAATAATAATAATAATAATAATAATAATAATAATAATAATAATACATGTTTTGTTTGTAGAAAAGTCTTAATATTTTTGTTTACAAAAAAAGTCCTAATATTTTTGTTTACAAAAAAGTCACAATATTTTGGGTTAGTTTACGAAATAGTCCTAAATTAATTTGTTACAGGTTTCAACCGGTTAAAAAGGGTCAAAATGCAAATTTTTGCCCGTTTTCAGGACTTTTTCATTCATAAAAAAATCTTGGGACTAAAGTGTAACTTTTCCGTAAATATTGGTGCTTTTATGAAGATTTCCCTATGAATTATTATATCAAATTTAACAACGTTATTGTTATATTTAAAAAAAAACATATATTTGTAAAGATTTCAACTATATACGTGTTTCTGCGCATTACAATGTCAACTTAAATACAAATTTCAGTTCCACTTAAAAAACCAAAGAATACTTTGTAAATAGTTAAAAGTGATAAAATGTAGTGATAAATGCAAAAACAAAATTATAATCTCAATTTAACTAAAATATTTCCTAAAGATATTTTTGTAATCGTTAAAAGTTTTCAAACAAGTAGCTTAAAATAACTTGCAGATAAAAGTCATTCAAAAGATTGAGATATAATAGATGTATATATTATCATATAATTCAAAATAATCAATATATTATATCAATTTAGTATACAAATTATTATATCAAATTTAATAACAACGTTATTGTTATATTTAAGAAAAACATATATTTGTAAAGACTTCAACTATATAGCTGTTTCTGCGTAACGCTCGGACATTCGTCTAGTATACTTATAAAGAAAGCATATTTCTTTTCACCACATTCATTTGAAACTCCATTCTTTTTTTCCTTTCACCACATTCATTTGAAACTCACACGACTTTTCAATTTTTTTCTAATAATAATTATAATTTGGTAAAGTATGTTACATAAATATCAAACCAAAAGTATAATCATATATAAACTAAATTTAATATTAAAATAATATTTTACTTATACTTATAAAATCGTGTTTTTTAAATTTTAACATATTATATTTAATTTATTAGTTTTAATATATTTCTGGATGTAAACCATTATCATTTTAAATGTATAATTTTGGAACAATTTATATAAAATACTTAAATTATTAATTTAAATATAACAATACAGGGTCAACTTAAAATATAATTTTTAGTTTAACTTAAACAACCCAAAGAATATCTTACAAATAGTTAAAAGTGACAAATTGTAATGTCTTTCTAATAATGATTATAAGTTGGTTAATAAGGTTAAATAAATATTAAACCTAAAGTGTAATCATAAACAGACTAAATTTTAATTTTAAAATAATATATTTACTTCTATTTATAAAGTTATGCCTTAAAATTTCAACATATTATATTTAATTATTAGATTTAAAATGTTGTTGTATGTAAACCATTATTAGTTTAAAGCTACAACTTTTAAATAGTTTGGATAAAATACTTAAATTATTAATTTAAATATAACATTATAGTGTCAACTTAAATATAAATTCTAGTTCCAGTAAAAAAACCAAAGAATATTTGTATATAGTTAAAAATGATAAATTTTAGTGATAAATGCAAAATCTGAATTGTAATATCAATTTAACTAAAATATTTTCTAAAGATACTTTATAATCGTTAAAAGTTTTCAAATAAGTAGCTTAAAATAACTTACAATAACAATAGTTAAAAATAACTCTATATAAATGATTATATTGTTGCCTTTAAAATCAAAAAATAACGTTTGATGTTTTAAATAATTATAATGATAGAAATTAAAACATTAAGCAAATAAATTTTAAAAAATTAATTAAAAATAACAATAACTATAAATAGTATTAAACCATATTTAATATTTAATTTTATTGATGTGTAACTTGCGGGTAGAAGTCATTCAAACAATTGAGATTATGAAGTTATAGTAGATGTATATATTATGATATAATTCAAAAGAATCAATATATTATATCAATTTAGTATTATATCAAATTTAACAACAACGTTATTGTTATATTAAAAAACTATATTTGTAAAGACTTCAACTATATCGGTGTTTTTGCACAATACAATGTCAACTCAAATATAAATTTCAGTTTCATTTAAAAAATCAAAGAATATTTTGTAAATAGTTAAAAGTGATAAATTATGGTGATAAATGCAAAAACTAGATTGTAATATCAAATTAACTAAAATATTTCATAAATATATTTTTATAATCGTTAAAAGTTTCGAAATAAGTAGTTTAAAATAAATTATAATAATAATAGTTAAAAATAACTCTATATAAATGAGTATATTGTCAGCTTTAAAATAATTAGAATGATAGAACTTTAAACACTAAGCAAATCAATTTTAATAAATCAATTAACAATAACAACAACTATAAATAACATTAAATCATATATTATATTTAATTTTGTTCATGTATAACTTGTGGGTAGAAGTCATTTAACCGATTGAGATTATGAAGTTATAACAAATGTATATATTATCATATAATTCAAAATAATCAATATATTATATCAATTATATATACAAATTATTATATCAAATTTAACAACAACGTTATTCTTATATTAAAAAAAACATATATCAGTAAAGATTTCAACTATATAGGTGTTTTTGCGCAACATACATGCATTCGTCTAATATGTAAATATTTACATATGAACATATCGCTCTCTCTCTCTCTCTCTCTTTATATGTATATATATATATATATATATATATATATATATATATATATATATATATATATATATATATATATATATATATATATATATCCCCTCGCTCAGTTTAATATTTTTTTGGGATAGAGAGGGTGGTGGTTTTTCCCGCCTGCTTGTAATTTGTTACACAGGACATGACATAATAGAACAGATTGTACTGTGTTTGACCTGTATCAGCACAGTTTGATGTCATTAGGATAAAATTTTGTTTATTATAGCATTGTACTTTGTATTTCTTCATATTGCTGATGTATTTTGAAAGAACTACCCTATTATAACAATCCATCTAATTACAAAGCATATGTTATTGTTACAATTGTGTAGATATATCAAAGTACATTGTACTAATAAGAAAATTAAATGAAAATACAATGCTAGAACTGGGTAGATTTTTCAACTACTTTGCCTTAATAAGAAAGACTATACAGTGTTGTATAGAAAATGAAAGTAGGAGGCTATAGTAAACAAATAAAAAAAAGTATATTGCTATTTCTTACTTTTAGCCATTTATTATTCATATATAATTAAACCTATGTAATGATCCGCGCAAAGTTGTGGTCTTTTTACACGATGATGTATTCTTATATGAATGTAGTTTTTCGACACAAATACAATCATTTATTATGCGATAATGATTTGTATATGAAAATTAACTTTGGATTCTATTAGTTGGTTGTTTTGTTTGTATTTTTATAATAGTTTCTTTCTTTTTGTTACTAACAATGTACTTGCTTTATTCTAAAAAAGTTTACAAAACTGCGTTTATATTTGTGGAAGGTTAGGTTTAATTACATTTTTGTGAGTATTAAACACCGGTTTGCCATTTTGAAATGATTATATTTATGGTGTAATGTTATGAGATACAGCTAACATTATGCATGATCTATTACTACATTTTAAGCTTAGCCTTACGTTAATTGGAAGTTTATAGTTTATGACTTACTTGGTGATAAATTAATGTTGAGAAAAATACAATAATAAATTTAAAGGATGTGAGATTATTTTTTTTATTGTATGTCCTTACATAACGGACAAGAGACAAGAAAAGTAAAAGAATCAATAAGTTCACAATTTCGTGCTGAAATATTTATTTATTTTTATTTGTTTGAGAAAACTTATGAATATTTATTTCATGTTGTTTGTGAACTTAGGATAAGGTTATAGGTACACACCGAATGACATATATCTTTTGTTTATGGTTGTCCTAAAAAAGTTAATAGATCTTATCAAATTTATCTTATAGATTTTGTTCATCAAGCATTATTATATAACAAAGATGAAATTGAATATGCGATATGTCGTTATATCTGTCTTATTATCATTATATAATATTATAGGAAGATTCGATTACTATAGATCAAGCTATATTAAAAGGTAACTCATAATAAATAAATAAATAAACTAAAAATAAAGTTGATCTAATCCGGTTGATTACAAATTATTATGTAAATCCAATACATTTAAGTTTGTTTTCTAAAACTACAAATCTAAAAGAATGAAAATGAAATTTTTATGGAATTTTTGAAGAAAAGAAAAAAAAAAAAAAAAAAAAAAGATGTTAACAATTCTAAAAATAAAACAAAATCAATTATTGAGTTTTGTCACCATGTTAATCACAATGCCTAGAAAGTGAAAACTAGTTGCAAAACCAAAAAAGATAAAAACAATTGCCCAACGCATCCACGAGGAGGGAGAACTTGGAAGATTTTCAGCCGACGAACGCTAGGGTTTAACAACCATCAATCTTCAATTTGACGGCTGCACAAGACAGTAAATTCTTCTCCTTTTCCAAAATTTACAACTTACGGTGATCCAGATCACAAGCAACAAACACCCAACGTGTATTTCCTTGGCATTCGTTTCTAGGGTTTTAAAATTGATGCTTTTACAGGTTACACGATCGAAACCACATCAATCTCTAGCTTCCACTCTAGGTAATCTTACAAAGCACTTCCAATCTACAACCACAAATACTATGAAAGAAATCAAAACAAAAAAACTCACAAATCCGTCATCGCCATTGAATCCAGATACAAAATGTTCTTCGAGTGTCAAATCAACCCCAGAAATCGAAAAGAAATATGTTCATCGTGTATATGATGCGATTGCACCTCATTTTAGTGCAACCCGGTTTGCGAAATGGCCCAAAGTTTCAGCCTTTTTGAACAATTTGCCATCGGGGTCTGTGATTCTAGATGCAGGATGTGGTAATGGCAAGTATCTAGGTTTGAATCCCAATTGTTTCTTCATTGGTTGTGATATAAGCGCACCCCTTATTCAGATCTGCAGCGACAGAGGCCATGAGGTTTTTGTAGCGGATGCTGTGAATCTTCCATACCGAAGCTCATTAGCAGATGCTGCAATTTCGATTGCAGTTTTGCATCATCTTAGTACTGAAAGTAGGAGGAAGAAAGCCATTGATGAACTCATAAGAACTGTGAAAAAAGGTGGGCATGTTTTGATCACTGTTTGGGCTGTCGAGCAAGAAGATAGATCTTTACTGAATAAGTGGACCCCACTTACGGATAAGTATTTAGAAGAATGGATTGGACCAGGTAGTCCACGGATTCGCAGCTCTTCTTCAGTCACCTTAGAAAGCATTCCTGAAACTGAGGTGAGTGTTTCACAGGAAGAGGAAGTTAAAGATTTTGGTAATTTGAGTTTAGGAGAAGAGGGAATGGAAAGTGAATTTAAAGAAGATAGAGAAAGAGAAAGAGAAAGGCAACAGGAGTATTTTGTGCCATGGCATTTGCCTTACCATAGAGCAGAAGTGAGTGGAGCTTCTGTAGGAGCAGTGGAAAATGGTCTTGCAAGGAAAGATGATCAAAAGGGTGCAATCGTCTATGACAGATATTACCATGTGTTTGGTGAAGGTGAACTTGAAAGGTAATCTTCTAATTTCTGCATGCATCATTTCTATATTGTTTCTTGGGTTGAATGCAAAGAGTAGCAACATACTTCCATTTATTTGTTATTATTATAGCATCTTGTACATTTATTTGTTATGTGTCTTGCATTTAGCCTGTTGTTCATATAATGTTGTAATATGTAAGGTGGTTGGTGTATATTGTGTTGCTATGCATAGTATAAGTTAATTGATTTTATTATATATAGGTTTAAAAGGGTATGTGAGTAATTGTAACAAGGAGATGTCAGGAATTGAATTCCATGGGTTTCGGTTTCCCAATGGAATGTTGCAATCCTTTGCCCCACATGGTGACAGAATGAGAGTTTATAAGCTTTAAGTTTTTATTATTAACAACACAATTTTTTTTTTTTTTTTATTGGGTTTTCTTGTTTCAGGTTGGTTTGTGGCATGAAGAATGCAGTTATTGTGGATCAATTTTTTGACAAGTCTAACTGGTGTGTCATTCTCCAGAAAACTTCATGTTAGATCATATTCTGATGCATTTCTTGCTAAAAAAAGGTGTGATCAAAATGAATGCAAATCCACAACTTTTTTTATAGCAGTTTTGGTTTATTCAATGACTCCTGATTTCAGGTGTAGCATTCTGTAATTTTTTGTGAACTTGTGGACTTGTTATATTTAAATGTATTCGAAACTAGGCTTCTGTTGAATGGAAAGGGTTAGCAAAGTACAACTTTAAATGTATGTGGTACAAGTCATCGGAGCATACCCATTCAAAGTGCTTTTATTTGTTATTTAAAATAGGATAACTGCTTGTGAGTAATTGCCAAGTTTGTGAAAAAAACTCTTTAATTTTTTTTTTCAGTAAAAACTCACATTTGGCAACTTTTTGGTTTTGACCAAATTTTTTGTGTTTGACTCGTAATTCTGTTGTTTTTCATATTGTTTATGGTGTTATTTATAGTTTTCAACATTAAAGTTAATGTTATTTTGCCATTAAAAAAACACATCAAATGCCAAGAGTGAAATACACAACCTGAGAAAGAAGCCATGTATAAATCATCATGAAGAAAAGCAAACAAGATCTTCACATTGAACTGTTTTTGGATGAAAAAGGAATAGAAAAATGCAAACCA